GAAGACATACTGGATGACATTCTGTTAGAGAGTTGCCAAAACACTAGGGTCTCTCCCTCCCTCCCTTCCCCCTCCCTCCCCCCTCTCTCTGTGTGTGTGTATTCAAAAAGCATTGGTGTCAATATGATGATGAGTATGATGATGAGTATAATGCTGAGTATGGCTTAAAGGCAAGAAGTTTAAACTTTGCTATCAAACAGATCTGATTTAGAATCCAGTCTCCAATGTTCTCTTAGCTGTGTGACCTTTCAGAAAATCCTCTTCCTCTATAAAATAGGAATGGATTGACAGCCTTTCTTTTTCTATCATGAGATAAGAATTAAGACAATGTATGCAACTTTGTAGCACTGTGTTTAGGAAACACCAAGAATGCGGTAGCAGCAGTAATGATATTAACAGTAATAAAACTATAGAGAGCAGTAGGGATCATGGAATTGATTGGGTTGGAGAATGAATGTGTTTTTAGGGACAGCAAGCTTCAGGGTACTGTGTGATGCCAGGATAAGATGGAAAGGAGTGACTCAAATGAAACTGACTGTTGGGGGTTGAGATTGGATGTCTCTGGCAATGGTATATTCTGAGACGGGTAACATGATGTCCTGTTTCTGAGAAACTGAAATATTGGAAGGGATGGGTTTTATATGACACTATTCCTGGGAAGATGTTCCTTCACATAGGGAACTGACAACAGACCAACGTGAGGGCACAAGCAAAATCTAATTTGATGGACCGATTCGTTTTAGTTAGATTATTTACAGGACGATGGGCGAGTGATTCCTTACAGGAGGAGAGATGACAAGGTAAAAGCTTGACATAGCCTTTGTCAACAGGAAACAGGAAAATACAGGTGAAGCAGCAAAGACAACTGCATCACCACAAGCCCACCTTCAGTATAGGTGACAGCCCACAAAAACTGGGAACCTGGGGTACACTGCATAATCTGCAGTTGGAGAGTGTCCTTTGTAGGTAGCTCCGTTGGTCTGGTCCTCTTCTAGGCAACTCAGCTGTTCTCTGCTTCTTCTAGGCTGACCATCTTGTCTCTATTCCTCCCCGGAGGCTTCTTCCAGGAAACCTCTTCAGCTTGTCTACCAGTGCCTCTCAGCAGGCCTTGTTGCTTATTTATGCTTAGGAAGGGAGGGGGCATAGTGAATCTGGTTAGTTTTAGGGACTTCCTATAACCTTTTAGTAATTGCTTCCTGAGTGTAAATTAGCTTCCCCGCAGGTTGGGATGTTTGTCCTCCCTTGGAACAACCTGCGTCTTAATGAGCTTCCTTCTAAAATGGATGGTTTCATCCTGGAGGAAATTGTTATGTAACAATGGGACAAGGAGCAGAGTCATGTGAACTGAAATTCGTAACATATGAAGACCAACTGTTTATCATTTATCTTTTCTCTCCTTCTCTCTGCCCCGTGTGTGTGTGTGTGTGTGCACGCGTGCTTTGCATACATGCATATGTACACGGTGTGTATGCCCTTACACAGGCACTGAAGCTAGACGAGGATGCTGGGTATCCTGTTCTCCATCTTTCTGCATTACTCCGTTGAGACAGGAGTAATACACTGAACCTGGAGGTAGAGTGGGATCCAGCAAGCCGCAGAAATCCTCCTGTTCTCCACTCCACTCACCCCCATGCCTCCTCTGTGGTTACAGCTATACGTGCCAACAGACCTGGCTTTTTATACTGGTGCTGTGGCATCTGAACCCAGGTCCTCAAGTTCTCATAGAAAAAGCTCTTACCTGCTGAGCTTCCTCTCTAACCTCGTATCCTTTGAATTATCCTCCCAGTGATAATTCAAAGAAAAAAAAAGATGACTAAGAAAAAAAGAGTAAGTGACAGACTAACAGGAGAAATCAAAACAGATTAGTGTGTTTTTCTGGTGTGTCTTAGCATGTGTAACAATTTGTAACAATATGTAACAATTTAATAAGTAACTGAGAACTGGAGATGTGGGCTGGTGTCAAGCAGCTGACTAGCTGATGCAAACCCTGGGCTTGATCCCCCAGTACTGAAAATTAGTAAAAAATGGATCATAGAGTAAATAAATAACTAAAATGTAATACGCGGTATTTAAGGAAACATTTGAGCATAGCCAATTGCTTACTCAGAATTTGTACAGCTGTGTAGCACTACTCAGAGTATATATTTTTAACAGACATCACGATAGTTCCGATCGGGGTGTCTTGCTACACTCTAGGAAACACCATGCTGGACCCCATTGCTGAGAGTGTGTTGCGTGGCTCAATAGCCTCAGCTTCCCACGGGAGCTTGCTAGAAATGCAGGCTGACAGGCCTGGTGCTGGTCTGCGGAAGTGCGTCTTGCACTCTGCTGAGATCTCAGATACGTGTACATGTGGTAGGATTTAGAAAGCTATTCTGTTGCCTCCTCCTCAGTGAGGGCAGCTGTTGCAGGGAAACAGCCGCCCACTGAGAAAGTTCACCCCTTGCTGAACCATGGCGCATTTGGCCAGTGACCCGGGTGTTCCCTCTGAAGCTCTCAGTCTTGCAGCTTTCTCCTAACCTGTGGTTGTTTGCTGTCCCGTTCTGCCCCCTGTTCTCCTAAGCCCTTTCCAGCTCCTTGGCATCACTTTAGCTTGCACTTGGCCTCTCTTTGGAGCAGCCGCTAATAATTTGCTTAGCATCTTTCATGATTTCTTCATATATTCCCCTGCGGCTCTGTACTCATCTCCCCTTTGTCTTCTCCTGTTTCTTTGGTCTTCTTACTCGGGTTTATCATGTTATTCTTATTTTCAGAACCAAATATGCCAATGAATAGTTGAAAAACATCCAGCTACCAATGATCGCTAGCCATTTATTTTTTAAAATAAGCTAAAAGAGAAGGAAAGTCTGTGCACTTATGAGTGACTTGTCACTGATGACCCTGCCGTTCCTTACTGTCCTGATGTTGGGGGCACACAGAGTAGAAGGTAGTCTCTGTGATATTTAGCAGGGGCTTTGGTATATGCACGGTAAAGCTATGTTATATAAAGTAAAAGTGTGAACCCACCAAAACATTCTTAATTCTTTTTCTGTATATTTTTACCTTCTTTATGAAATGTATTCTTTTCATCTATTGTTATTATTATGAGGGGCTCACATGTGCCGTGGTGTGTATGTGTATGTGTGTGGAGGTGATAGGACAGTTTAGATGAGTTGGTTCTCCACAGTGGGTTGGTGGGATAGAACTCAGGTTCTTAGGCTTGTCTCCCAAGCACTTTTACCATTTCGATGACCCTTCTTTCTCTTGCTATTCTCAACTCCTTTTCATTCCTGGTCTCTTTGTCATTTGTGTGTGTGTGTGTGTGTGTGTGTGTGTGTGTGTGTGTGCGTGTGTGTGTGTGTGACTATACTCAGCTTTTTCCTCTGAAACTTTTAGGAGCATACACCTTACTATTTGAGGTCTTTACTACAGGTGTTATGTTGCATTCAGCATACACAAAAGTCAACAGTGGGTGGACACAGAGTCCTCCAAACATTCCCAAGAGAATTAATTCCGTAGTTTATACTTTTTAGTTCTGAGTAGGATACATCTGAAGATTAAGGGGAAGCACTGAGGAGCATCCATATTTCTGTATTGCAGCAGGCTCACCACATGCAGGATTAACATGATTCCATATGCCTACAATTTTGGCAATCATTTAAAAACTCTTCTCAGAGATAATGATGATGTAGGTGCACTTATTTTGATGATTTTTATAGAACATCCCCTTTGTTCAAAGGATAAAATGTATTAGTCTGTAAAGGAGTTGAATGAAAGTAAATTGGGAAACAGGGAATACAGAAAAAAGAGGTTCTGTTTCTTTAGAGAAAAAGCGATACAGAAAATAGGCAATAGTCACTGAGATTCAGTTAAGTACAGATGTTTGGGAGACTGAAACCATACCAAAGCAGATATCAGGTATTTTGGTTCTTGTCTGTTCTAGTTTGGTTTTTTTGTTACTGTGATAAAATATGATAAAAAGCAATGTGGGAAAGGAAATCATTTGTTTATCCTACAACTCTAAGGCAACAGTCCATCACTGAGGGAATTCAGGGCTGGGACTGGAGGCAGGGACTAAAGCAGAGACATGGAGGAACACTGCTTACTTGTTTTCCCTGGTTTACTCAGCTACCTTTTTTCTACAGCTCAGACCCAGATATCCAGAGATGGTACTGCCCACAGTGTGATGGAGCCTCCTACATCATGAATCCAATGCGGGAAAACATAGTTTCCTCTTATCATCTCCAGGGACCTTTTTAATTTTATACTTTCTGTTCAGATAGGCACCCTACTGTGGAAGCTAACTTTGTCACCTATTCTCATCCTTGACCCACTGAAGACTAAGAACTCTTTTTCTAGTTCCTAAGAGTGTTATTGACTGATAGTTCTCGGCTAGGGTTCTTTTTGGGGGGCTCTGTCTAGGAGCCTCCTAAGAGATCTACTCTGTTCAAAATTCTGCCTCTTCCCTAGGGTGTCTTGTACTCAATGACTGTTGTTACTGATAGTAGAAAGTTTTGGCTCCTTGCCTACATTTTAGACAATTTTGGAGGGTCAGCCCATTTTCAGAACAATTGATGCACTTAACAGAGGCTCTTGAAGCAACAGCATTGTAGTTGAGTCCTCTCTGTGACTATTCTTTGTCTTGGGTGGTGAGATTCAGAACGTGCTTCAAAAAAAAATTCTTACACAGAAATTTCTGCTTCATAGGGAATCTAGTCCTTTCTTCCTTAAAGTGTTTGTGAAAGGTATAAAGTAGCCATATACCATCTTTCTCTATAGATGGCTAATTGTCTACTAACTGAAAGGCTGTTTCTTTCATTAATACATTGTAAAAATGATTATAAATGAAGAGACCATTTCTGCCTGGATTTTAAACTAAGAGCTCCATTCCATTAACACATTTGTGTGTTCTTGGGCAAATGTTACACTTTTCAATTACTCTGAAATTATGATGTGTTGATCATCTGACAGATTTGTTTTGTCAAACAAAATATGTTCTTTTTTTAAAAATATAGGTAATTGTGCTCACTTTGGCAACACATCATTTAAATGTGAAGCAATACAGAGATGATTAGCATGGCCCTTGAACAAGGATGACATAATGATTTCTGAAGCATTCCATATTTTAAAATAAATAAATCAAATAGAGGTAATTATTAGCTTTTTCAATTTGATGTTTAGAAACAAGATTTTCTTTTTTATTCCTTCCTTCCTTCCTTCCTTCTTTTCCCTTTTTTTTGAGGCAGGGTTTCTCTGTGTTGCTTTGTAGGCCAGGCTGGTCTTGAACTCACAGAGATCCAATATTTTCAGTTTCAGCAAAATCAATTGTGATTTCCCTAGAGTTGAATTAATCTGGACATTGTAGTTTGGGGGAATGATTGCCTTTTAGTATTGGACATCCTGATCTATACATGTGGTTTATATTTGCACATAGTCTAGTCTTTAATTTATATCAATAAGATTTTCATAACTATCTGCATTGAGTTATCAGACATCTATTAGTGACTTTATCCCTAGATATTCCTTCAGTATATTTTATTATAAATGTTAAATATTTTAATAGGTTTAAGAAAAGGGTGTGTTATCATGTGACAGGGGGCAGGTATCTCTAGTGGTCTTCCTGAGCAGACTGTCTCTGAGGATGCAAACTTTGGATATTGTATCTGTTGTTTCAATATGGAGTTCATTTTGTCAGATGGATCAACTGTACTTTGTCCTACAGTTTCCATGTGTAAGAATAAAGACCTGGCTTTTAATGGAATTGCAAATTGGACTTGAAGCTAGTAAGATGGTTAGGAGAAAAATGTGCATGCTGCTGGGCCTGGTACCCTGTATTGGTTACAACGACCCACATGGTGGAGGAAGAGAGATGATTCCCAAAGGTTGTCCCCTTACCTCCATGTGTGGCCTTCCCCACAAACAAATAAATATATGTAATAAAATATTTTAAAAATACATTTTAGATTTTGTTTTTACTTGCACACAGAAATGTAATATTTTCTTCTGTGTTTTTATCTGTCATTAACAGTCACGATAAACTTGATTATTGCAACTCAGTTGTTAAAACTAGTGGTTTCTTTGCAGTTTTTGTGGCTTTAATGTACACACTAATTTAATTACGTATAATAAATTTTTAATCTTTATTTTCCAATCATTACCTTCTTTGGTGATATTGGTGTCAACCTTGTATTATTCTTGATCTCAAAATTAAAGTTTTAAAATTTCTACTGCTTAAGTGCTGTTGAAATTTAACTTGTGTACATATTTGTGGTAGATAATTTTTGCCATCTATATTTACTTATCATTTTCCATTTGCTCCCGTGCCTTGAAGGATGATATATGTGGACATCACTCATATTTCTTTCCTCCTGGATTCCAACTGGGTTCAGCCATTAGCAGGCTGGTATATTTCCTTTGGGGTATTTTGTTGCTAGGGATGAGTCTCCCTTACTGAGCTTCAGAGTATAGGCAGGCTACTATGCCATGTTCAATTGAAAGGATAAAAATAGTCTCCTGAAGATGACTTTAGAAGGATGTAACTGAGAAAAATAAATTTCTCTGGGCATTAGAGAGGTATAAGAATTGCTAAAGCATTTTAAAAATTACTTTTAGTATTATTGCTAACTTCTTTACATTTAAAATTGTAAACAACCCTTCTGATCATTTTCCTATAAATAAGCAAGGCACTGGGGATAGATCAATTTGACTCCCTAATTAGCAGTTATTGAACTCTGTCTTGCTGCCTGGGCTGTCTTGATCAAAAGGACTATCAATGTAACAGCCAGCTGGTCTACCCTTATGCCAAGAGGAGCCGTCTGGAATGCTCCACTGATGCCTTGAAACGATTATGCAAAAGATTGAAGTTGATTGCCCTGGCTCTTGAAGCCACTGCCCCAGTCAGGGATGTTAGATACAGTTGTATAGCAGACAGTCTACAACCATAAACCTTAGTAAACCCTTTCACCTCCACCAGAGGTGGAGCAAGTCTCCTGGTAGAAGGGCTACTGCGATTGGTACTAGGGACCAGGCCATAATTGGACCAAAACACAAGCCTTAATGACTCTGAGTGGTGTTAAAATTTGAGGCTGCGATTGACCCAAAGATGTGTATGATTGTTCCAAACATACGGTTACAATTGGTCTGAACACCCCTTTCAGGCTGTAGAGGTGGGCTGCTTAGGCTCGATGACACACTTCTGTATTGCAATGTAAGGTCTCATAAAGACTTTCCTAGACTACCTTCAGTCTTGTGAGCTGAACTGGTAATGTAAAGCAAGCAAACCAGCTTATTCAGAGAGCTTAATGGCAGCTTCCTAGATGAAAGAGTGGCAAACTCCACATCGGCTTGGCAGCCGAGGACCCTGGATGTGCTTCATAAGTAGACCAGATACTTCCTGGCTTCACACCCTCAGCACTGGGTTCTTCCATATTTCACCTTATATTCCTGAGTCCTGGGAGCCCTGTTCCAAGTACAGAATGTCTACAACCACAGCTTGATAGGTAAAGGGGTTCCAGGGTGTTTGATCTTGGCTTCTTGCCGAGCAATAGGATCCCAAAAGATCATTAAGCTTTTGTGTGTCATCCAGCTTCCCAGGCCTGGTTTCCATGTGCAGACTGTTAGCAGCCATAGTTTGATAGCTGAAGAGCTGATGCTGGATCCCACCTACCAGTGACCCTTTCCACCCAGGAATCCTGCATGAGGCCTGTGTTTGCACCCAGTGGTCCTGGCCACACCCAACACCCAGTTCCTAAGCAGCCTGACTCACATCCCAGCTTCTAGAGTGCAGTCCTGACAGAGGCAGGCACCCTATGTCATCTCTGCCGGTAGCTATGTCAGGCAGCCAGCTGCAGACAGCTGAATAAACAGTTAAGTGGCTGCAGAGCAGTAAGGAGAAAAAAAAAACTAGAGGGAACAACTGAAGTTCCTTCTTTCAAAGAACAGTTAAGTCTTCAGGGGCAAGGGCTTCAGGGATAAGGAGGCTGACAGCTGTTACAGTAGCTGCTCAAGGGTCCCAACACCCTCTGCCTGCATGGAGTCTATCACATTAGGGGGTGCCATTTGCTGTTGCTTCAGCCTGCTGCTGCCACTGCTGTCTCCAAACTCGGAGGGGAATGAAAGCTGCTGGAAAATCCAGCATTTGAAGCCCTTCCTGCCTTTCCACGATATCCATAGAGTTAGATGAAAGACACCTTCATCATCTGATGGCTGAGGAGACTCCCTGAAATTTGTACCCGAGCTTCTAGAAGCCAACAAGTTGCTTTCTTGTCCCCTTTGCTGCTTACATATTCCAAATGGCAATGAAGTGAGGGGAGAGGCCGTGCAGAACTTTATTGGAATATTTCTTAATTACATACACTAGAAATTATATCTTCCTCGTGATTTATAGAGAGAGGTGAGTCCTTGTTTTCACAGAGCTTCATTTCACTTAATAATAAGCTATGTACGTGATTTTACATATTATCTTTTTAAAAAAATCTTCCTTGTTTCAACTTCCCAGGCTGAGGCTATATCATATTTTTTTAAATTTAAGTTTAAATTAGAAACAAGGTTGCTTCACATGTCAATTCCAGGTCTCTCTCCCTTTCCCTCTCCTCCTCCCACGCCCTCATTTCCCCATGGAGGGTGAGGACCTCCATGGGGGTGTCCATAGTCTATCATTTCATCCAGGGCAGGGCCTAGACTCTCCCCCAAGAGTCCAGGGTGAGAGTGCATCTCTCATTGTTGGATGGGAGTCCAAAGTCCATTTGTATACCCGGGATAAATACTAAGTCCCATGCTGGATTCCCAGGCATCAGTCTGGGATTCAAGAGCTAACCCTTGTGAGGTCAGCTGTTTCTGGGGGTTAAACCAGCCCAGTCTTAACCCCTTTGTCTATCAGTCATCCCTCTCTGACACTGGATTTCTTGAGTTCAGCTCAGTGCTTAGCTGTGGGAGTCTGCCTCTGCTTCCATCAGCCAATGAATGAAGGTTCTGTTTCCCAGACTCTGGCAGTGGGATTGTAGGCTGGCACTCCCCTGATTCATGTCTAAAATCCATATATGAGTGAGTACATACCGTGTTTCTCTTTTTGTGACTGGGTTACCTCACTCAGGATGGTTTCTTCTAGTGCCATCCATTTGCCTGCAAATTTCAGGATTCCATTGTTTTTTTTTTCTGCTGAATAGTACTCCATTGTGTAAATGTACCACATTTTCTCTATCCACTCTTCGGTTGAGGGGCCTCTAGGTTGCTTCCAAGTTCTGGCTATTACAAATGATGCTGTTATGAACATAGTGAAAATAGACATTCTTGTTGTATGAATGTGCATCTTTTGGATATATGCCTAAGAGTGGAGTTGCTGGGTCTTGTTGTAGGTTTATTCCTATTTTTCTGAGGAATCTCCATACTGATTTCCAAAGTGGTTGTACGAGTTGGCACTCCCACCAGCAGTGGAGAAGTGTTCCCCTTTCACCACAACCTCTCCAGCATAAATTGTCATTGGTGTTTTTGATTTTAGCCATTCTGACAGAAGTAAGATGGTATCTCAGAGTTGTTTTGATTTGCATTTCCTGGATGGCTAATGATGTTGAGTACTTTTTCAAGTGCCTCTCAGCCATTTTAGAATCCTCTATTGAGAATTATCTATTTAGTTCTGTACCCCACTTTTTAATTGGATACTTTGGTGTTTTGGAGACTTGCTTCTTGAGTTCTTTGTAAATTTTGGAGATCAGCCCTTTGTCAGATGTTGGTGTGGTGAAGATCTTTTCCCATTCTGTGGGCTGCCTTTTTCTCTTGTTGACTGTGTCCTTTGCCTTACGTATCATATTTTTGCACAAGTACATGATAGTTTTTTCTAATCAATTCAATACTTTCATTTGCAAGATAAGATGATAATGATAATAGAAATAACACTGGCTTTATAATTTCATCATTCAGAGGAATTATGTACTCCAGTCTTTCCATGTTCCCTTCAATTATATGTTAACAAGCAGAAGGTTATAACAGCATAGACAGCTATGAATTCTCCTTTGTAGCAGTCATTCCTGTTTACTTGCCATCAAGTTCAGCAGAGATACCAAGGTTTTCTTAATGATTTTTGCTAATGTTGAATTTTTATACTTTCTTATATTTTACTTTCAGAAATAATTC